TAAGAACTAAACAGAGATCTACGCAACTTATGCGAACAGTCTGATAGTATCTTAACTAACAAATATAAATACTATTTTTTTTTTTTAATCTTCATAACACGATTTTTTATTTCTCTCCAGCAGCGAATTGTAGACTATACTGAGAATAAAGATGTGTTTAATTCGTAGCTTAATTTCCAATTGATGGCAGTGATTCAATATTTTATTAATTTTATTTTGAATTGGATCCGATAATACTGCACAATATTTCTCTGTCTATCTTCCTAAGATTCTTTATCTGCGTTTCAAAAGAGAGGCGTTCATTTTCGGGGCATTTAAACCTGCTGTTATTTTTACTTACATATGTACATACGTATATGCAGCATTTTACGTGAAATGACGAGAGTAAAAATGAATATCTTGAATCGCGAAAAAAGTTTGAGACTTTTTTTTATTTTAAGGGGGACAATTTTATGAACTTTGCTTGTCACCGCCCACTCTTTAATTTTTTCCCCGTGGTGTCAGCTTTATAAATGATAACATTTTACTTTAAAAAAAGTGCTTTTTCATATTCAATTTTCAATTTTGTATAATTTTTAATAATTTATGTGTACATACATATGCGACGTTTCATGTCAAACGGACCACCCGCGTACCAAAACTTTAAATTAAAGGATAAGTCTGTGTATAAAATTTGCGAAAATTCAAATTTACATCTTATTTGTATCGTCCTCAAATACGTTCGAGGTATACAAATTGCGTATAAGTCTTCGCCTCTCAATTATTGGGTAAGAGAACGACGATTTTTAAAGCTTTCATAAAATTTATCCCCTCGAATTTAAGGAATACAGGCGATCCCATGAATCAGTGGTACGAAACGTTGCAAATGTACCATAGAAAAAGGAATAAGGAGATCCGTGTTTTTTTGTTTTTAAAACTTTGTGAACACATACTTATTATTCCTTGAATAAAGTCAAAGACTCAGAAATGTATTAGTAAACATGAACATTTCACATAAAAATCCTGCTGTATTTTGGAGATTCCCTTTTATATCTACTGCCTCTTGCCAATAAGCTTTTTTTATTTTTATAAATAAGAATATCCAAGAATCGAATGGTCATTTCGTTTCTTCCAAAAAATGTTGTCCTTCCCCGGTGCAAAATATGTTTGATGTTACACTCCACCCTGTAAAAGGGCATGTTTTTACCTTCTTGTCCTTGCCTAGCTCACGCATTTCATAATATTGTCATTTTAAACAGACATCTGATTTTCAGGGCGACCATCTCCGCTGACAAAGCTTCACTGGGCAGAGAATGTGCTTTTTTGCCTTAAAACAGTCTGACATTTTAAGAAACGAACACAAAATTTTCGCACCCTTTACCTTTAATTTAGAATCGAACACGAAAAGAGAAAGGGGCAGGGGAAGTACCACGCTGTGACAAATCACTTTCCCGTAATTGCTTTTTAAATTAAATTATTTATTATTTTTTTATGAAATATGAGCAGAAAATAATGTTACTCATACGCCATGTATGTACATATCATCGCGTTTAATCAAACTTAGTAGGAAACAAGTAATTTTTAGCAAACAAAAACCGACTTAAAAAATATATATATATATATTTCATGATTCAATAATCGGATCTTAACCAGATTAGTATGGGACCACCTCTGAGACGTTACCTTTCCGATGCAAATAGAATTATCGAAATCGGTTGGCGTGGTCCAAAGTTATGCGGTGACATATGTACCAGGGATGGGCGTTTTTGAATGAATTTTTATTCAAATAAAAAATAAAATTTTATTCATAATTTTTATAATTTTGAATGACGAATAAATTTTTATTCTTTATTCAAACATTTTCGAATGATGAATAAATTTTTATTCTTTATTCAAACACTTTCGAAT